GTTTATCATTTATTGTTGTTTTGTTTGGTTTGGTTTTTTGGTTTGGGTTTTTTTTCCAGGGTTTCACTGTGCAGTTTAGGCTGGCCTTGAATTTACTTTGTAGCCCAGGCTGACCTCAAACTCTCAGCAATCCTTCTGCCTCAGCCTCCCAAATGCTGGGATTATAGGTGTGTAACACCACCCCTAGCTGCTGTTCCCATTTCTGGCAGTGCAGTAGAATAAATACCATTAGAACTATTACTGTAACTGTAGTTCTAAGACCCACGAGCTTATAGTCAAAATCATTAAACACACACAAACCACCATATAGTATTCAAGCCTGCAAAAACTGTACATGTTGGGATTTTCAGTTGCAATGTATAAAATGAATATTTGATGGTTTTAACATTAAAAAAAAACTTGAAACCTGAAAAAGGATCAAGAGAATTTCAAAATTGACCAGGTAGAATTTAAAAAAAAACTATCTATAAAATCTAATAATAAAAAATGGTTGAAAACAAAAGGTTATTAGATGGACTAGATAAGAGGTTAGTCATAGACGAAGAGAAAATTAATGAACTAGTAAATAGGTCTTCTTTAAAAATGACCAAAAGTGCATCTTTAATATATTTTTTAAAATGGGAAAGAGACACAAAAGATAAGGTGAGAAGATCCAATATCTAAATTACAACTCTATAAAGAGAAAAGAAAGGTAATAAAAATGGACATATTTAAAGGCAAAAATAGGATACATATTTATTCTCTGATTTAGGAAACCCAAGGAATTCTCATCAAAATCAATAAAAAGAAACATATAATGAGATTTATTTACAATCACATTGTAGAAAAATAACGGTGAAGACAAAATCCTAAAAGTAGCAAAAAAGAACAGGCAGGTTCTCTGCAAAGTAATTAGAAGATTAACATCTGATTTCTCTATAATAATATGACAAATATAATCTTTAACAGGAGAAGAAAAAGAAATGTCAACTCATAATTCCTTGACTAACAAAATGATCTCCAGAACTGGAGGTAAAATAAGTGTCTTTCTAAACAAATAAAACTAAGAAAGTTGACTGTCATTAAATCCAATACCAGTTTTATATTGGTGCATAACAAATTACTACAAATTCAGTAATTTAAAACAGCACTTTTGGGCAGCCCATTCAGAACCCCTCCTGTCTCTCAGGAGCTATTGCTATTCTCCATTCCTTTTCTCCAATATAATTTCCTACTCTTAAAAATAAAAAAGCACATATATTATCTCATGGATTCCAGGCACTGGTAAACATGAGCACAGGTTATCTGGGTCCTGGGCTCAAGGTCTCACCAAGCTAACAACAAGGTGACATCCAGGGCAGTTTGCAGGGGAGCAAGCTGAGACACCCAGGCCATGGCATCAGGGACCACAGTACTCCCAAATACCCTGATCACCAATACATCAGGAGTTGGAAAAATCACAGTCGGCAAAGAACTTGCATCCAGATCAGGACTGAAATACATTAACATGGTTGATGTAGCTTGATCAGTGTATATAATGGAGCCTGGCAAGATGGCTTCTCCCAAGAGGATGCCAGAAGATGCACAGATGACAGCACAAATCCTGAAGGATATGGGGATTACAGAATATGAGCCAAGAGTTATAAATCAGACACTGGAGTTTGCCTTCCAATATGTAACCACAATTTAAATGATGCTAAAATTTATTCAAGCGGTGCTAAGAAAGCCACTGTGGACACAGATGATGTGCGATTGGTAATCTAGTGTCAAGCTGACGAGTCTTGTATCTCCCCTCCCCAAAGAGATTTTTTTATTATATATTCCAAGACAAAGAAAACAAACCCCTTTGCCATTGATCAAGCCAGTCCTAGACTGCCACCTGATCAGTACTGCTTAACAGCTCCAACCTACAGACTCAGATCTTCACAGAAAAAAGATATCTACTTCTGTGGGAAAAGAACTGTTCTGTGGTTGAGTGTCAGTTCAGTTACTAGCAGATTAAATACCTCCACACTGTGCCAATCAACCCTGCAGGCTAGGTCTGTTTCAGCGAACGCACAGGCTCTGGTGTCCTTCACTGGGCAGAGGTTTACGGCACAGATGATGGCCTCACAGGCCCCTGCTGTAAAAGCCTCCATTTCTGCAACTTCAGCGGTTCCAAATGTGCTAATGAATCCAACATTAACTGGGTCCAAAAATATTATTAACACTAACATGGTATCACCACAAAATACTGCCAGTTGAGTTGTCAAATGTGTTGAAAAAAAGTGTGATGGTGATGATGATGGCTATGGATAATTTGTCATCCACACTGATGCATGTAATGTATACTTGGTCTTGAATCCTTTGTACTGAGATTAGATATGCTGGATGTTTTCAAGTTGTGCTTTAGAAAATTAAATAGCCAAAATCAAAGCCAGGGAGCTTTCTCAAGGGCTTCTCCACTCATTTCAGTTATGAATGTCAGAGTTCTTTGCCCTACAGGCCCGTCCCACTCAGGTTTCTCATCAGCTTTTACAGTAAAGCTGCAGCCCATAGTGATTAATGAGGATTACAAGCTGCTAAATTATATGAACTAAAATTTATAACAGGCTGTAGGCAAGGCTGGGTTAGCTGGCCTTTCAGACTGAGTTCTTTGAGAGTGGAAACAGTCTTTTCTGTTTTGTTTTGTCTTATTTTGTTTTTGCTTTGTTTTGTTGCATTTCATTTTGTTCTGTTTTTTGAGATGGCATCTTGCTATGTAGTTCAGGTTAATCTTGAACTCAACTATGTAGCCCAGGCTGCCCTCAAATCTGCAGTGATCCTCCTGCCTCAGCTTCCTGGGTGCTGAGACTACAGGCAGACACCACCACTCCCAGCAACTGTTTCTCACACCTAATGTCTCCCTTAACATTCTGCAGCAATGACTGTTTATTGGTTTGGCTAAAACTAACAGATGTGTGAAGGAAGTAGGGGCTCTCATATTCCCTTGCCAGTAATACTGAGGCCTGCCACCAAGAAACAACTGTGACACCTCCTAGTCCTGACTTGTACTGGCAGGGTCCCCTGCTGTGTGACACAGTGTGTTGGCAGCAAGATGATGCACTTTGCGGGGGGGGGGGAGGAGTACTGGGGACTGAACTCATGACTTTGTGCTTATCAGGCAAGCACTTACACCACTGGGCTAAATCCCTGGCCAAGATGATGCACCTTTAATGCCAGTACTCTGGGGGGCTGAGGATCACCAGTGTAAGCCCAGCCTGGGCAACTTAGCTACTAAGATTTATAAAAATAAATAAATAAATGGCTGGGGATATAGCTCGATGTGAAGGTCCTGGGTTCACACGCATACACACACAGGTGCACACATATGTCTGGTCAATCCTCGGCAGGCATCTGGATGCTAGGAGGCTGGAGGTAGCAAGGAGAATCAGTAAATAACCAGGCTACAGAGAAAAGGAGGCTGCACAAAAGGTGAGATCCCCTCCTTCCTTCCCTCAGAGCAGAGTGGAAAGCAGAAGAGACCCAACCCAGGAGCAAAGGCAAGAGCTAGGCCTGTGGGATAAACATCTGAGGGTGTCCTGAGATGAGATAAGAACATAAGTGACAGACTGGTGTGTGGATTAAAGTGTTTCAGCAGGAGCACAGGTTCAGCTTTGTTGATGCCTGTTTTGAGGTCCCTGGAAAGGAAAAAAGAGACTCCAGAACTGTGTGAGAAAGCAAGTCCAGGCACATGCCATGACTCCAGTGTTGTTTACGAGCAGATGTATCTCAGGAGCCTCCTACGGATACTGCTGAGCAAAGATGTTAAGAGAGGCCACAGAGCTGAGGTCACCTCACCAAGCAGCAGGCAGTCACTGATTAAGGCTGCCTCAGTCTAGGTCAGTTCACATCCATGCTCTCAGATCTTGGGGTGAGAATTACATGGGCCCTAAGACAGGCCACCTCCCAGGACACAATCTCTCCAATCCCTGAGGGAGAGCAGTTTCAAAGTGGGCTGATTTGGGTGGTGACCAGAGAGCAGTAGAACAAGGAGGAGGAAGGTTCTGACAGGATGCTGACCTGTCTCCCCTCCCTGATGGGAGCAGAGGCCCCTAGCAGTGACAGGTGGGAGGAATCACAACTGTTGGGCTCAGCGCTGGAGAAGTCTTCCCAGGCCACATCTGTAGCTGCTGGAGAGGTCCCAGAGATGAGATTACACCAGAGCTACAAACGTTGTCCAGGCAGGTGAACCAGAATAAGGAGGAAAGAGCCCGGATCACAGGTCAGGGTGCTGAGTGGAGCGCATAACACGACAGAGACTATCAGCCTGCCACTGGGACACTCAAGTGGGGGGAAAGGGGAGTAAGTTAAGGCAGAGTGGCAATAGGGCACTAGCAGTAGGGCAAGTATGGAGCCCAAGACAAACTTTAAGGAGGTACTCACTCTCTCATTTGTTTAAACCCACAGTTTGAACCAGACAGTGAGTTCTCTATTTTTTTTTCCTTTTTTTCTTATCGGTACCAGGGATCAAACTCACAACTGCCTGCTTGCAAGACAGGCGCCTATGCCGCTGAGCTAAATCCCCAGCCCCAGTGAGTTCTCTAAATGTTGTACCCTGGGAGTATGACTGCCTTATCCTAGTTCTTGCCACAAGCCAGCAGGGTAAGGGCTTTCTTGAGCCCTGCATAGGCCAAATCTATCTCCAAAAGTAAAGCCTGGATAATACAAACTGATTTAAACTCCAGGAACCAGCAAAGTAAGTCAAGTTTCTCAGGAATCACTCTGTGCTTAGGAAGATCCATCCCCTTCCTTCCTCTATCTCCCTGCTGAGCCAGATCCCATTTGCAGCCCTTGCCTGGCTCCTTTCTGCAGGTGGAGTACTAGAACGCCTGTGGGGAACAGCCTTGGCCCTAAAGCAAGGTCCTCTCAGTATAGCCATGGTGTTACCCACTGGAACCATTATTCTACCTTCTTCCAGGCCTGGACCACGGCTCCTCCTGGGATTCAGTGAGAGAATGGACACCCTTGGAAAAAACTGAAAAGAAACTTCACTCGACACCTGAGAGACCTTGGTGTTTATTTCCCCTAGGCAGTGGGGAGGTCAAGTTCACACAGGCAGAAGCTCAGGAACCAGAATGGGGCATGGGCTTGGAAGGGAGCAGCCATATGTTGGGGGCAGCTTTTCCTAGTTCTGCCCCAGTCACCTGGGCCTTGGGCACACCTGTCTGGATGGCGTGCTGGTCAGCTGAAGAAGAGGTGCCTCCGTTGGCCTCCTTCTCAGGCACTGCAGAGCTGAGATGTACTTGGGTGCTCCGATTCCACATCCTCACACCAGGAACCAGTCTCACAGCTTCTGGCCGTACCAAGGGCTTCCACAGCAACTGGGATGAGGCCTCGAGGATCTGGGGTGCTATCTGGGGCCATCCAGAATGCTGGTCTTGCTTGTCAGTGGACTCCAGCCCCAGCGGAGGCACCCGGGTCCGGCCAGCCCACAGCTCCCCCAGCAGCTCAGCCTCCTGCTCATAGCCACTGGGCCACTTGGCACTGGGCCATGGTTTAGGACTGGGGCTTCGGGGAATGTCACCAAGCACTGGGTGCTTGGGGAGGAAGCGGGCTCTACAGCTGGAGAATGGCACCTTTGATCTGGAGAATGGCAAGAGTGGGTCTAAGTTTAAAGTGGGGTCTAGACTCAAGGCACAGAAAGGAATACTAGGCTGGAAAGGGAAGAAAGGTGCTGAGGAGACACGGTCCCCAGGCCCGGGACCTTGTGGCCTGGCTCTGGCCAGTGTCTTCCTGCGCCCTCGGTGCCCGCGGTAGGTTTCCAAGGGTTGAGGTTCAGGGTCGGCGACCACGATCTCAGCCAAGGGGCGCACCAAGTGGCGAGGAAGCCGTGTGGGGTCCAGACGTGTCTTCACAGCCTTGAAGCCTGCCCGGTAGTGAGGCGCATCCAAAAACCCTGGCTGGGGAGACTGCATGGAAGTGGAGAGGCTGAGCGTGGTGAGGTCGCCCCCAGAGGGGCAGGACGCGACCGAGGCCACGCGCGGCATCCCCTCTGTCGTCTTGCGTGGCAGTTGGTCCCCAGCTGCGTCTAGCCGCGGAGCGCGAGAGTAGAGGTCCTCAGGCGTTAAGCAGGAGTCCAGGGGCTGTCCCCTCTCGGCAGAAGCCTGCGAGCTAGCTACCTGGGACAGCTCCAGGGGAGGGTGGGGACTCAAAGATTGCAAACTTCCGTTCGGGGACCTGGCCAAGAGGTGACTTCTCGTCTGACCGTCAGGTTCCTGCAAAGTTCCCCCGGCTCCTGTCTTCTGAAACAGTTCTGATGACCACTCCTGGGAGCCTCTAGCCAACCACGATCTTCCTAAAAGCATCCGGTCCGGGCTCCCAAAATCCTGGGGGAAACGCACAGGGCAATGAGAGAGGGGGTTGGGAAAGAAGTCAGGGGGAGGAGCCCGAGATCTGGGCGCCCGGAGGCTGGAGGCTGGGCTTACTTCGTTCTCGTCTTCCTCTTCGTCTTCGAGGTCCTCCAGGCACTCGTAGGCGGGCGCTTGCAGCACGGGCACCGAGCCCTGAGCCCAGGTGTCGGTCACGCACGCCAGCGGCTCCTCGTCCTCGCCCCACGTGGGGTCCTCAGCCACTGCAAATTCTCCCTCGTCCCGGGCCAAGAAGCGCCACTCGACGATCTGCAGCATGGCCTCCCGGGCCTGGCTGACAGTGAACGGGATGCACTGCGGGAGCGAGCGAGGGGCTCAGCCTGGCGGGGGCGCCGGAGGGCGCGCGAGGTCCCGGAAACCCAGGCCCGGCCCCACCTGCTGGCTCAGGTAGACTTGGAAGGCCGCCTTCATGACCCGATCCAAGAGGTCGGCCACGATGTCGCCCACCACGTCCTCGCCCTCCTCCAGGACCAGGAGGGCGATCCACTCCGCCTCGCTGAGCCGCCCGGGGACGATGTCCACCTGCGGCACCGGAACGGTGGGCGGCCGCGCTTTTTCCACCTTGGAACGGGCGGCGCCGCGGTCTCGCGTCTGCCTCTCCTGCCGCTGTGGGAATGAAACAGGCTCTCAGGGCAGGCAGCGGACCCCAAGGGCCGGGTGTGGTGGCACAGGTCTGTAATCCCAGCACTCAGGAGGCTGAGGCTGAGACAAGAGGATCGCTGCGCTTGAGGCCAGACTGAGCTACATAGTGAGTTCAAGGCCAGCCTGGACTAAGTGGCAAGACTCTGCCTCAAAAAGATTATATATGCTTTTTAAGTATTTGATATAAGTAATTCAGTCTTTGTACAGCCCATTGAGTGCACTCTACAAAAATACTGAAGCTTGACAGAACTTAACCTTCACTTGCCTGATTAAACCCAGCTTATAAAATTCTAACTCAGTGACCCCTTGCTATTTACAGCAGCGCAAACTGTCCAAAGTTCTTGAGTTCAAAGAACTCCAGAACAATGAATCAATAATAATGAATTAGTACTGATTAAGAATAATCAGTTGGGGCTGGGGATTTAGCTCAATGGCATAAGCGCCTGCCTTGCAAGCAGCCAGTCATGAGTTCGATCCCTGGTACTGATAAAAAGGAAAAAGACAAAAAAAAAAAAAAAAAAAAAAAAAAAAGAATAATCAGTCAATACTGAAACTATTTAGTCTCCAAGATTTTTTACCTACTTTAAAAAAATTTTTTTGAGTCAAGGTCTCACTATTAGTGCAGACTGGCCTTGAACTTGCTTTGTAGCCCAGGCTGACCTGGAACTCATGGAGATCCTCTTGTCTCAGTCTCCCAAGTGTTGGAATTACAAGTAGGTGTGCGCCATCATGACCAGCTTACCTATGTATTTTTTTAACGTATGCATTTTTAACCCCCATTTTATGGAATTTGCCCAGGATCATACAATTAGGTAGTATACTCAGAATTCATATACGTTTATCTAAGTCTGCAGTCTGATTTTATCCTGCTTAAAAAAAAAAAACATTTTCAACAAACATAAAAATGATGAATATCTTCAAATATATTAAAAATTCAAAAGAGTTGGGCATGGTGATAATCCTATAATTCAGTAGGAGGCCAAAACAGGAGAATCAGTTAAAAGTTAGAGGCTCAGTCAGAGCTACATATTGAGGGACTGGAGATTAAGCTCAGTGGCAAAATGCCTGCCTGACAAGCATGAGGTCCGGAGTTCAATTTCTGGTCCGTCCCCAAAAAACATACTGAGTTCAAAGTGAACCTGGTCTACATGGTGAGACCCTATTTCAAAGTAGAAAAACAATAATAAACTTCATAAAATAAAACAATGTAAGACCCCAAGAATAAGCAAAGAATATAGTATTTCACAAAAGAAAAGGTGTGACTAATAAATATTTGAAAAGATGTCCAACCTCTTAAAAAATATCAAAATAAGCAAACAATTTAGATTCTAATTTTTAGGTCATCAAAGTAGAAATAATTTTCAAAATAAGAACACTCAATGTTAGCAATGTTTTGGTAAGGTACATGATGTGACACCATGCTGACAGCAATTGGAGTTCATTGGAACAATATTTTTGGAAAGGCATGCAGCAGTATGTATCAAGAGTATTAAAAATGTTTATAAAGCTGGATATGTGGTGCCCTGCAATCAAAACTAGTAGGAAGGGGGCTGGGGATTTAGCTCAGCGGCATAAGCGCCTGCCTTGCAAGCAGGCAGTCGTGAGTTCGATCCCTGGTACCGATAAAAAGGAAAAAGACAAAAAAAATTAAAAAAAAAAAACTAGTAGGAAGGCTGAGGCATGAGGACTACAGGCACAAACTGTAGGAGTCTGAGGTTCATCTGGACAATATATCCAAAAGAAAAAGAGAAAAAATGCTTTTATACCTTCAACCTTGCAATTCCCATCCTATAAATACACCCAAAAGGCGTATAAGATGTTAAAAAGAAAAAGATATATTCTATTGCCATGTACCACACTAAAATTGAAATGGATCAAAGATGTACATGTTAAAACAAAAACACTTTCTGGAAGATAAAATAGGTACAACTCTGGAAGACATAGGCAGAGGCAAGGGCTTTCTGAACAGAACCCCAGTGGCACAAGAAATTGCACCGAGTCAACAAATGGGATCATATCAAATTAAAGGAAATAATAAAGCAGAGAGATAACCTCTGAATGGGAAAAAATTGATACTTATTCGTTTTGCAAGTGGAAAGGGATCCAAGAGATGAAGGGAGTATAGAGGGAAGTGTGAGGAAATGGATGAAAAAGAATTAAGATTATATATGTATACCAACTCCCCACCCTGAATGACTTAATCACTATGTACTGCAAACATGCACTAATAAAATATAAATTGAAAACATATATATACACTCCAATATTCTTGTCATAACATTATTTATTATAGCAGAATATTGAACCTTTGTCTAAGTAGATGGCTAATGATGCTGAATATTATGTTCTGATTGAAGTAATCTTTAGAAAGAATTTTTAGTAGCACATGAAAATATTCATGACTGAATGTTAAGTCAAAAAAATAAGATACAACATTGCATATTAATTGTAATATCAATTATACAGAATTATATACATTAGATAATAGAAAACACCAAATGATTTCAGAAGTTATATTTCTTTCCTATTCTCTATTTTATAAATTCATAACATGGATTTTGCATCCTTTTTAAAATCAAGAAAAGCCAGGGGTGGTGATACACACCAGTAATCCCAGCATTTGGGAGACTGAGGCAGGATTGCTTCGAGTCAAGGCCAGCATATGCTACATAGTGAATTCAAGGTCAGCCTAAACTATGCACAGTAATGAGATCCTATCTCAACAAAACCAAAATAATTATTGTCATTATAAAACATAAAAGCTGGGCATGGTGGCACACTCCTGTAATCCCAGCACTAGGGAGGCTGAGGCAGGAGGATCCTTGCAAGTTTAAGACCAGCCTGGGCTACAAAGTAAGCCCAAGGCCAGCGTGAACTGCATAGTGAGACCCTGTCTCAAAAAGACCTAGATCTAGATCTAGATATATATAATCTAGCCCCCAATCTCAAGTTGGGGACATGGTAATTTACTAACAGTTTGTGGAAGCTTACTCACTTACCAACAACAGTGTCCCTGTACCTGGTCCCTTCCAAAATTTACATCCAAACAGGATATTCTCAAACCTTTATCTTCTGCCCCCCCCCCGTCATAGTGCCTCATACCTGACGTTCCCTAAAATTTATTTTCTCCTCAAATCTGGTATTTCCTAGCCCTCACATGGAACTCAAAATCCCTTATGCCTGATTTTTACCCTTTTCATCAGGTAGAACAGCCCTGTGGCAAGCCCAGGGTGGGGCCCACAGCCCTGGCCTGGTTTGGTTTCTTAGATCTCTCCTCCTAGGTTCTCATGTGACACCTGCCCGCCATGGTAATCATACCTAGACGTGGCCTGACCATATCTTTTTGTACAAAGGACCTCCAAATATATTTTACTTTAAAATACCTTTGTTTTCAGACAAATGGACTTTCAGGTGTACCTTTGGAGTTGTTTAATTCATTTTTTTTCCCTCGAGACAAATTCTGCAAAAAGTTGATTTATGATCAACACCACTCCCTAAATACCCAATCAATTTTGGTTTATGCACTTGTAAGAGATTTATTACATGTATTAGCTGTTTCCAAATTTACTTGTAGCTCTCGAACTCTACATCAACTGACTCTTTCCCTCATGGCCAGGGTGTGACAAAGCGTGGGAGTGGGCACCGTACAGGTGTACGTTTCCTGCCCGAGCATCGACGTGGTTTGACCCATCCTGAACACCGGGCGCCGTGGAACTGGCCCGCTGTTCCCAACACCATCCTTACTGGCCGACCTCAGCTCTGGCGTATTCCTAATAGGGCTCAAGCTCACCGTGTTTTCCTGTGCCATTGCTGCTGCGGTAGCTCGGACGCGACGGCGTCAGTTGTCTCTTGGGCGCTCAGCTAGGTAGCGACTGCTTCGGCTCAACGGTCGCCTCGGCAACCGCGAAGCTCGCTGGCACCGCCCCACACCCAGTTACCCCGGCAACCGGACACGCGGCGCACGCGCAATCTGGCCGCTCACCCCACCCAGCAGCGTGCGTGTGTGCGTCGTCTCTATGGTGGCGGCGGATTCCGAGGGAGAGAAGGATCCTGGAGTCAGGTAAGGGGATCTGGGGCCCTTGGTGCGAACTTAGACCCAGGCACGGACTTCAGGGAGCGAAACTGAAGGGGAAAATCCCTGGGAGCCAAATTCTGTCTTTTGGACTTGACCAGTTGGAGCCGTCCGGTCCTGTGCCATCACCATTCCTCCTCTGGGATTTCCTCAGCCCCGTGACTCAGCCTTGGGACTTCCCTACTGTGCATCACCAGCCCCTTTCTCCACCCAGCGATCCTCCCCATCACTGTTCTCTTGGCACCCCATCTCATCACCTAGTCTCAGAGGTCTTCCTTAGTGCCTCGAGGTTGTCTGCCCTCCCCAATCTCCACTGTGATCTTTTTCCCGCGCGCGGTGATTCAGGTGTCTCCCACAGGATGTTCCGCCGGGAGCGCTCCATCCCTCTTCAAGGCTCTGCCGCTGCCCTGTGCAACAATCTTAGTGTGCTACAGATGCCTACCCGCAACCTCACGCTTTTTGGGGTAGTTCATGGACCAACCGCTCAGGTTCTTAGTGCTGCTCCTGACGGTGCGCCCTTGGCCCAGCGCCAGCTCCATGTTAGTGAGCGCGCCGGAGTGAGCCCCCCACTTATCACTCAGGTAAGCTGTGGAGTTGCAAGCAGTGTTGCTGAACTTAGCCCTCTCCCTGCCCTTTCAAATCTCAAGGAATAGCTAGCTCTCTTAACCCTCTGAATTTCCACTCTTCTGACGCCTCATGTCTCCATTCTGATTTTTCTCCCTGCTCTGATTCACCTCCTTCCAGGTCCACTGGTGTGTCCTCCCCTTCCGAGTACTGCTGGTTCTCACTTCACACCAAGGGATACAGGTAAGAAGACCCTGCTGAACTCCCCCACTAATCTTTCCAATGTCCACAGACCCTTTTTCCCACTTGGCTATAAATACTTCCAGCCTTTTCACATGCAGAGCCCACTCTCCATTTTTCATCTTCCTTCCATCTTCTCCGGTCCCCAAATGTCACCTCCAACATCTGCTCCTTTAATAGCTGTATGACCTTAAGAAAAGAAAAAATAGCTGTATGACCTGTATGACAGCCTCAGCATCCCCATCTGAAAAAATAGGATAAAAACAGTCCCTATAACTGGGCACAGTGGCATTCATCTGTAATCCCAATTCCTTGGGAGGCTGAGGTAGTGGATTGCAAATTCCAGGCCAGCCTGGGCAACTGAGCCAAGACCCTGTCTCAAAATAAAAACGACTGGGGAAATAGTTCAGTGGTAGAGTACTTGCTTAGCAAACACAAAGCTCTGGGTGCAATCCCCAGTACTTGGGGGTGAGGGTGGGGGATAGTGTGTACCTACAAGTATGGTTTTGAGGATTAAATAGATTAAGGCTAACATAGATATGTAAAGTACTCTGCACAGAGCTCAATGAAGCTCAGCCGGATCATGCTTCATCCTTGCTACTGTCTTCTAGATGTATGAGTCTGATGGGTCCGTCATGGTCTATTGGCATGCACTGGACTCTGGAGATGCCGCTTCAGGTACCTTAAGGGCCAAATGGACATATGGGTAGGGAATGTCTCCTAGGCCTGGGAGAAATGTTGTATCTGATAATTTTCCTTTTTCATACTCAGTACAGGCTGTGTTTGCCCGAGGAATTGCTGCCAGTGGCCACTTCATCTGTGTAGGTGAGGGGGCCAAGGATAGGGCATTAAGGAGTTCAGGGTATAGAGATGTGGACTTCAGGCAGAATGCTGAAGGCCTGAGGAAATTGTGAAGGGTTTGAGAGAAGGGTTTGAGGATTGGGAGTCTCTTTTTGACATACAGAAAAACATACAGAAGAGGCAGAGAGACAGGGTGGACTAGGATGAGGGTAATGAATGAAGGGGTGGGACTGTTGGAGCATGGGTTTGTTATTAAAGTTCCTGGGATGGAGGGAGTGCTGAAACCCAGAAGGGCAGGAAGCCACTAATGGGGCACTGGTTCTGGCTGCAGGAACCTGGTCAGGCCGAGTGCTAGTGTTTGACATCCCAGCCAAGGGTCCCAATGTTGTCCTGAGTGAGGAGCTGAGAGGACACCAGACACCAATTACAGATATTGCCACTGAGCCTGCTCAAGGACAGGTAAGTAAATGTCCCTTATCCTAGCACATAGAAGCATCCACTTTTGCTACGTAGTGTTGGGAATCAGTATGGATTGTGCCCGGGTTATTGCAAGACCTCCAAAAAGTTCTGGCACTGTGGCCTCAGCTTCATCCATCCAGTAAGGAGATTATACACCCCCGTTTAATACATGGGGAGGGGAGCATGGTTGGTTATCAGACTTTAAGGAAATGCAAGGAAAGCAATTCATGTATCTTGAGTGAACCATGGGGAAGGTTACTGGTGGGTCCAGCCTGTGAGGGCCTAACATCTTGCCTTAACACCCGGGTGGGCAGAGATACAAATATGACCTTCTTTTATCTCCTACCCTGTGCTCAGAACCACAGCAGAGGGGAAAAGGAAGAGCTGATCCCATCTTTCCCCTCAGGATGGTGTGGCTGACGTAGTGACAGCAGATGATTCCGGCTCACTGTGTGTCTGGAGGTCAGGACCTGAGTTCACATTAGTGACCCGCATTCTAGGATTTGGGTAGGTGAGGCAAAAGGGGACTGTGGTCTTTTTGAAATAGCTTCAAGGCAGAGTGTAGCCTTAAAGAAAAATCAAAGGTAAATGTCACCCTTGCAGGGTCCCATGCTCCTCTGTGCAGCTATGGCAGGGGATTATAGCAGCAGGCTATGGGAATGGACAAGTGCATTTATATGAAGCCTCTACAGGAACTCTGAACATCCAGATCAATGCCCACGCCCGGGCCATCTGTGCACTGGACCTAGCTCCTGAGGTGGGCAAGGTCAGTCTCTTGCATCTTGGCATATCGTGTTTCCTGGTGCTAGGATGTTGAGAGGAATGCCACAGGCTACTTGGTATAGCCTCCTCCCTAGGACACCAGGACTGGCTATTCCAGCCTATACCTCTCCCATTGGAGCATTCTGATTCTTACTTTTCCTTCATATGTTTTTTTAATAGCTACTCTCTGCAGCTGAAGACACCTTTGTGCACATCTGGAAGCTGAGCAGAAGCCCAGAGAATGGCTGCATTGAGGTACGCATTATGGGAAGGGTGGAACTGGGTCTCAAGGTGGGGCGGCAAGCCCTGACTGGCCCTCTTCTCCCCCAGGTGGAACACTGTTGTGGTGAATGTGTGTCTGACACCCAGGTGTGTGGTGCTCGGTTCTGTGATCCCTCAGGCAGCTCCTTTGCTGTGACGGGGTATGACCTCACTGAGATCTTGAGATTCAGCAGTGTGTGAGTGAAGAGCAACTCTTCTCCTCCCTGTGGTATTTATAAAGTATCCCCTCCACCCAGTCCTTGTCTGATTACTCAGTATCACAGTCATACTTCACAATGGTGGCGAAATAAATTCCAGGTAGGAGGGGCAGAGCAGGTTCAGACCACATAGAGAGAGGCAACCTGTCCTCCAGAACCAGATGAGAGCCAGACACAGTGGCTCACATCTGTAATCTCAGCTATCCAGGAGACTGAGGTGGGATGATTGCAAATTTGAAGCCAGCCTGGCTAACTCTGTGAGACCCCATCTCAAAATAAAAGTTTAAAAGGGGTAGGGATGCAGCTCAGGGGTAGAGCACTTATCTACCATGCATGAGGTCTGAGTTCAATTCTCAGTACTGGGAAAAAAAAGAAAAAAAGACAACCAGGTTAAAGCTGCTGTTAAATAACTTTAATGGTTGATGTAGGAGTCACAGGGGAGGTGTGCTCCTCCCAGGGCTCTTCAGTGCCATCTTCAAAGCTGATTGATTAGTGCAGGGAGGTAGGGAAGGGTTATTCCAGTTTTCTCCCAGGAAGCGAGGAGGGGTCCCAGCCAGCTTTTGGACTAAACCACTCAGTACCATGGCATCCACAACTTAAGAAGAACTTCTGTTCCCCTCCCAGCCTACTCTGAGTCCAGAGAGGAAGAGGAGGTTAAGTTGGCCAACTTGCTTCAGATAGCACCACATCCAGAGCCCAATTGCACGTGGGTCCTTTTCTGGCCAGATCCTGTTACCAGTGCCTTTGTCCCTCACACTGGTGACTGGAGCCAAGTACGGAGAGGGCCTTTACTGCAGAGGCCTCTAGAACTTGGGGGTCGCTGGGAGGGGAGAGGGGCAACCGAGCAGGAAGCCCCAGAGGAGTGGTCTGGGGGGACAGCATCCAGGGAAAAGGTGCGGGGTCGCCCCCAGGGCACGGGGTGGGTCCAGGCAGGGGTTGGGGCCACTGAGGCAGGCAAGCAGGAGCTAGGCAGGGCAGGCTGATCTGTAAACATTGCTAGCCAAGGTGGGGATGTCTCCAGCCTTGTGCCCTCTCGCTGAGCCAGGATGTCTGTCACCGCTGCAATGTCATCCATCGGCTCAATAGCTGTGGCACCAGGAAGGGGTTGAGGGGAGGGGGCCGGTCAGAGCTCAGGCCCCAGGCCTACCCAGCCCTGACTGTCACCTGTCACTGTAATAGGAAAGCAAAGCCCGGATCTCAGCTGAGACTGCATTATCCTGCAGAAGCAGCCCCTCACCAGGGCTCCCTGGGGCCATGGGCTCTGATAAGTCTGTGGGATACAGGACGGGTGGGGAGGGAGAGGGGAGCAGAAGTAGGTGAAGAAACCAAGAAAAGAAAAATGAAAGTGGTGCCAGGTAAGTGAGGGGTCAGAGGAAGAGACAGGAATCCACATGCAGAAAGGAAAACAGAAAAGAAGAAATTAGGATAGAAGCCCATGAAATGAATTTGTTTTCTTGAGGTTTTTGTTTTGAACTTGGTAGACATAGTCCTACAAAGAACTGGAGAGGAGAAAGGCCTACAGCAGGACTGGGTGGGCCTTGAATCTCAGGAATCTGTCCTGGCACAAAGTGTGCTTTCTCTCTGTTTCCAGTTTCTGGGTTCCCTTGAAACCCAGAACCCCACTTCCCATCACACCCCTGAGTGCATTTTCTGTGACTCACCCATCTCATGGTACAAGGACCCCTGCTTGGCCATGGCTTGCGGTGGTTTCCGGGGAGCAGGAGTTTCAATTTTCATGATTTCATCACAGCACTGCTTCCACTGGCCTGCGGGAAGGCACTGATGAGAAGAGAGGGCCAGGCCCCTCTCCTCACCTTCGGTTGACCACGCCCCTCTTCTCTTACTCATGTCAAAGAAGAGCTGCCACAGAGCCTCCATCCAGCTCTGCAGGGCTTCCCGGCTCTCTGCCTGAAGGGTGTGCGTCACCTCATCATCCCCATATTGGTTACTGATGCTGAGGGTGAAGGGCCGTCCTGGGGCTTGGTCCAGCTCCCCTGCCCGGACTCGAGTCTCCTGCAGGAGAAGGAAGAGGGCTGCTTCCACCTCCGCCTTGGTCATGGCACTCAGCAGTGACATCAGGCAGCCTGAGTGACCCCACTTTAGGAGAAGGTGCTGTGGGGGCTTGCTGAGCCCTCATTTACTGTCTACTGAACAGAGTGGGAAGGAATGGCAAGAAAAGGGCTGGGGATGAGACAGTCCCTGCAGAGTCAGGGAAGGAGGGGCAGACCGAAGCGGAAAAAGGGGCTGAACCAGGCAGGCAAGGCACAAGGAGTCAAGAGCAGTGCGGCCCAGGGCCCTCCATGCTTCCAAGGTGTAAGCAAGGCATGGGTTATAGCCCAGCAGTACTGTGCTTGCCTGGCTTGCGTCAGGCCCTTGATCTGATGCCCAGCACCCCAAAACAAACATGCACACAGGAAAGCCAATAAGAGAGTTAGGGTGCAAAGAAGGGCAATTGGACCTTGGGAAAGAAAAACAGGATGTATAAGGCAGATACTGATTGGAATCAGGAATGGGGACAAGAGGAAGAAAAGTAGAAAATTGGCACTGAAACCCTCTGCAACTTTGCAGGGGCAGAGGGAGTTCCCAGTGATGCTGTGGCAAGGAGAACATGATCCTCAGCACCCCAGGCCCTGAAGCAGTGTGTGATGCTGTTAGGAGCAGAAGGCCACCTCCACCCTGTCCCTAGTGTCTATGCCTACCCTCCTGGGGCCTGAAGAGGCAGCGCCTGAGCCCAGGCACCTAGTGACCTCACCAGGGGACCCATCACCTTGTTGATGGCAATAGTTAACAGAGGCTCTTCCCCGGTGTCTGCATCCTCCGGTCTCCGGTAACAGAAGAGGTTTGTGCCTTTCAGGACTCCATACACTCGTGCCCTATTCTGTAGCTGCCCAGCTTGCTGCAGAAATGACTCAGTGTTTCCTGGGGGAGTCATACCCCCCCAGGCACCTTTCCTCCCAGCCTCCCTTGACAACCTCCCCCTTCCCCCTCATATCTGTTCCCCCCTTCATCCACCCAGGTCTTCATTGTCCAGTAGTCCTATTCCTAGGTGGTCCAGCTCCCTCCTACCTCTCCCCTGTCCTCCACAGGGGCCCTCACCTGCACCCTGAGGGTACCACTTGCAGTGGGCTGAGTCATGCAGAGAGGCTGAGCTGCCAGGCGGCAACACACACTACCGTAAAGGGGCAGCCAGGCAGGGTTCTCCTCTGGGGGAGAAGAAAGTGAAAGTGAGTTGGGAGTTCCACAGCTCCTGTTACCATCACCAGTGTCACACACACACATACACACACGTACCATGACTGGTGAGGGTGAGGTCATGTGTGCGGAACCCATCTTGCACTGCTGCCAGGGTGAGTGTGGTATGAGCCAAGAGGTGGTAACGAGGACCCCTAGAGAGGAGAGGAGGGGGCCTTAAGGCTGAGCAGGTCTGCCCCATGTTAAGCGGCCCTCTCTAATGGGGTTGCCTCCCCACCAGGAGCTAGGAATAGTTTGCTGACCCACTAATTGTCACGACCTACACTTTATACATGTTACCACACTACTCCCTGGCCACCCTGTGAGGCTGGGGTATTCTTCAGTTAATAGATGAGGAGGCATGTTGAGGGTTAGGTTAAGAACCTTGCCCATGATTTATGGCTCCCCAGAGTCCCTGTGATTCCCTGAAGTATCTCCAGGGAGGGCTGTTCCAACTAGAAGCTCTGTTCTAGCCCCATCTATAGGATATGTTTGTGACTGCTAAGAAGTTAAGACCCCAATTCCCAACTCTGCCTGCCTTCCCATGATCTTGTGGACTGGCTCAAGCCCAGCTCTAGGTACAGACTGGAATGCCAGCACATTCACGTCCATGCATCTTCACATCCTGGCATCCTTACAAAGTCGGTTCTCCCTGCTTGCTGAGCAGGTTCAAGGGTGAACCTTGCTGAACCTTGCTCAGCAAGGTTCAAGGGTCACTGCGTGCCAGGTACAGCAGCTAAGGGCAGGGAGAAGCACAGGGTCTTACCCCACAGCTGGGGTGGGGAGCAGGATGGGACTGCTCCCTGAGGCCCCTGCACTGTCCATGGATGCACGGATGCGCTTCCCTGAGGAACGGCCCAGGGAGCTGCTGAGTTTGGTGGCAAGCCTCTTGGGGGCGCCGGCCAGAGCCCCTTCTTCTTCTACACAGGCCCCATACAGTTCTAGCCGAAGTTCAAAGTCTGGCCCCGCCTCTGTGCTACAGGGGTGTGGGAGGAAAATGACGGTGATCATCATGAGGCACAGAATGGGGGTACAGTTACAGGGCAGCTCCGTAAGGAAATTTAGGTGCCCAGCTCCCCCTCCCTCTCCTCCTCTCCTCCTTCTCCCACAGAACTGCCTCAGAGATTGCCGCAAACAGGAGAAAGAAGGGAGCCCCTGGGGTGAGGTACACACAAGAGCACGTTGTTCTGAAAGGAGATGTCTGTGAGGGTCCTGTCCACCAGGATCATCTCTGTGTCCTCAATCTGCTCCCCTAGCTGTAGCAATAGAAATACAGCCCAACGGTGCAGGTCTGGGGACAAAGGGCAAAACCAATTAAAAAAAAAGAAAGTGTCCCACAAGAGCTTCCAATCTCAGGGACACACCCCTGAATTTGTCCCGGGGTGTGGAACTTACCACCTTTGTTCTTGAAATACTCTGTGTCTTTCCACATGAGTGGGATCCGGAGGTCTAAGGAGCAGTGGGGTAGGAACAGATGTTGAGACGGGGCAGGAGAAGGCTTGGCTGGGAGAGGGGTGCCAGCAGCTGGGGCAGCTGTGCTTCTTACCGGAGATGCAGACCCGGCCGCGGCAGGGGGAGCGCTCAGGGGGCGGCCCGCTGTCAGAAGGCCTGTGGGTAGATCACAAGGTCCTGGCCTGGCTTCTCCACACTTGTTCTTATTGCTCTAGCTTCTCAAGGGCTCTAGGAGCCCTCAGATCCCAGGGGCCCAGACCCAGACAGGCTGACGTGTTGGGGCTCAGGGCCTGTGAGAGTTGTTAACTGAACCCATGGTTTTCTGGGGTTAGGGACACTCAAGCTCATGGCTCCTCCCACTCCAAGCACCTCTCTGCATCATCTCTCCAGACCCTACCAGGGACAAACAGGACCTTGAATGCCTGCAGACAAACTCTCCTCCTTCAAGGGCTTTTCTCCCCTAGACCCCACACTTGGAGGTGTCTGCAGCCTTTTCTTTGCAGCAGCAAGGAGGCCACTCCTTTCTGCCATCCTGTTACTTCTTTGATGCAAGAGGGCACTGGGTCAGTCAGAGGATAATTTGATCAGTGTTTGATGAAAGAAAGAAACACAAGTACAGAACATCTGTGTTCCATGCACCAGACACCTCCACCACCAACTGCTTTGCCCTCTTAGGCAGGTACCTGCACCATCTTCCCAGGGGTCCACACTCCCCACTCCAGGGCACCCCACATCCTCTTTCCCACCCATCACTGGGATTCACTGAGCAAGTGTCTCTTAGCTAAAGTGATACCCAGTTTTTCTGCACCTACATATAATGGCACTAATATAATATTTTTTGGTCTTTTTGAACTCACTTGGTGGCAGGCTGGCCTTAAACTTGCAGCAACTCACATGCCTCAGCCTCCCCAGTGCTGGGATTACAGGCGTGTGCCACCATGCCCAACTGCCACTAATATAATTTCTGGTTCAGCAGGCTCTTCAGCTAAACGATATGGAACTAATGGCAATCTGTTTATCTACCAGGGACTCTGGTGTACCTCAGGTCATGCTGCGTGGTGACTTAGGGCAGTCTGTTGATGGCCATGTTCACAGAGAAATTGTCCGCTTGCGGCATAGGGCAGCAGCAGAGTGAGTTTTGGAACATTCTTTTGGCTTTATGGGTGAGCTGACAACCTTCCCTTGTGTCATCTTCATGGCTGGAATGGGCACCATGCTAGGACCATCTTCGCATTTAGCACTGGTGAAGCAAACAGGCCCTTTTGCTAAAGCCAATTCTCCAAATGACTAATTTACCAAAAATGGCCAATTCTCAGAAGGATCAATTTGCCAAATATTTCCTCTACCCTTTTAGCTTGACCACAGGATATCACTTGAGCCATCTGACAGATTAGTCAGGTCAGCAGTCTAGTGTCAGTGTAGTCCAATGTCATTGTGTTTCACTCCCAGAGGCTAAGCCCTTTTAGAATTCACAGTTTAGCAGAGGGGATATAGCTTAGTGGCACAGCACCTGCCTGGCAAGTGCAAGGTCCCAAGTCTGATTCCCAATACCCTTTTCCCCAAAAGTAGAATGCACAGTCTAACTTATATAATGAGTAGACTTTCCTTGAAGTGATTTATTATATATTTTTTCCAATTCCTGTCTCTCCTGATTAAACCCCAGTACAACAAACTATTGGGAATTTGTGGGAAATTGGATATCTGGTGAAATGGCTTTGAGATCATTCGTCTTCTAGAACCAGCCAGATTTTTCAGATGACAGCAAGGTGTTGGCAAAACAGTTCTATTGCACTCCTCCCCTAGATTGCCAGCTTCCACCAGGCACACTGACTTTAACAAGTGCAGCCCTAGCTACTCTGGGCAGCACATTGCAGTGATAAAACACCAAGTCTTGGACAAGGTTTTCTGCAGAGCAGGCTACACACACTCCACGTCTATGCACCACTCTTAAAGGCTCTGCTCCCACCAAGGCCTCGCCTCCCCCTTGCTCACCGCCGTCCTGTCTTCTCCAGCACCTGGGCTTCCTTGCGCCGCTGTAACTCGCCCATGTAACTGAGGATTCTGCTGTTGCACACCAGCAGGCTCTTGGTGGCCTCCAGAGCCTGTTCTCGCTGGGAGCAGGCTGCCAGCAGTTTGCAGGCCCCTTCCCTCATCCGGATCTCATGGTCTAGCTTCCTCTGCAACTCCGTGTCCTAGCCAAGGTCATGGGAAAGGTGAAAAGGAAATGTCAGGGAATAGGCTGAAGCACAACCCCAGCCCCCCACCCCTAGTCCCCAAGTAGGCTGTACACTGGGAAAAACTGACCAAAAAAATAACATTTTAGGCAACTCAAGAGCAAATACTGGGCCTCAATCTCAGTTGCTCAGGAATAATCAGAAAAGTTTTTAAAAATCTAGAGGTCCCCATGCATTTGATGGTTGGGAGTATAAATTTGTTCTACCTCTTGAACACAATTTGGAAAAATCTTGTAAAACTACAAGTTTACATATCTTTTCATCTAAATATCCAATTTCCAGAAGCATATCCTACAGATACAGTCAAACATATAGCTAAGGAAAGCCACTTCTACCAAAATACTCATGCAACATTGTTTTAAATGCCAAAATTAAAAGAAAATTCCTTCAATAGGGCATTAGTTAAATAAGTTATGTCTTTACTATGTAAAACTGTATAGGCATTAAAGAGTGAGCTAGACACATGTGAAGAGATATGAGGCAATTTCCAGAAAATGTAACATTAGAAAAAAAGCAGAACAATATTATAAGCACATTACATTTGTGCACAATGTATACATATGTGTATGTATCTGCATATACATATATGCATACTTATGCATAAAATGTTATGTGGCCTGGGTCTTCCATGGGAAATTAGGACTGGAAAACAGATTTAGAGGATCAGTGAATGTATGCGCCTTCTCTGAGAGCTTACCTACCCTTGCCTCACAAATCCCCATACACACCCCAAATTAGGGAATCTACCACCATTTGGGCCTCTGTACTTGAATGTGAGGTCAGAGGCAGGGAATGGGAATGAATGCAAATGGTCCAGGAATAAAGGCTTCGACAGGCTGTGCATACAGGACAGAGAGGAGACACAGAAGAGGTAGCAGAGTTGCCAGGAATGTTCTTTTAAAAAGAAGTGGTTCTAAGCTGGGCATGGTGGCTCATGCCTATAATCCCAGCACTTGGGAGGCTGAGGCAGGAAGATCTCTGCCAGTTCGAGACCAGCATGGGCTACAAACTGAGCTCAAGGCCAGCCTGAACTGCATAGTGAGACCCTGTCTCAAAAAGACAAAAAAAAAAGTGGTTCTGGCATTTAAAAAGCACTGGCATTTAGTAATTCGCTCAACTTCCTAACCCTCAGTTTCCCACCTGAGAAATGGGGATAAAAATGCCCATATCCCAGGACTGTGAGACAAGGACTTGGCACAACACTAGCACACAGGACTGTATGCATGAATGGCAGGGATGGGTATTTTAATAATGAAGCTACTTTGGTGGCACTGGTGCTCCTCCTGTGAGTGGAGGAGCATCTGTGCTGTCCATGGCTCTAGATTTGAAATCCAGCTGGGAAACGAGAGATGCAGGCATTAATGGCTGCTCCGTAAGTGCCGTGTCATGGCATAAACACACTCACAGAAAACAGATCCCCTTTGGTCCTGGCTGAGGCAATCACAGGAGACTTCAGAGAGGAGGTGGGAGATTAACTCATAGGCAAATGGGCTCAGGAAATCAGGTGAGCAGAGCATCCAGTTGGAAGAGGGGAATGTGACCTCCCCAAACCTATCTTCTCTTTCCCCCCACTTTTCTTCCACATCGTGTGCCTTTGTTTCTGTCCCTGATTGCTCCAACCTTCAAAATTACAAGATTTGAACACCTTGAAATCCATCACGCAAAACCCTTGTCCAGCTAGGCATTGCAGACCTGTAATCCCAGAAACAGCCTGAGCTACATAGCAAGACGGTCTCAAAAAAAAAAAAAAAAAATCCTTGTCCAGCCTGCCTGCAAATTCATCCTTCATTGTCAATTTTTTTTCTGGGGTATTGTGCTAGACCAGACTCTCATCACATTCAGTCCACCAAGCACCGTTTCCCTTCTAGCAGAAGCCTCCTCCACCAGGAAGCCCTCTCAGATTACATAGATCCTCCCAGTCTAGCTTCCTGTTTGCATCAAGGTCGTGTCTCTGCTAAATTTCGCTGCTTGCCAGTCCCTACCCTACTCTGTATCCAGCTTCTGCCACAAATACCCCAAAAAGAAGACCCGCAGGCATCCTCAAGCCCCCTCCAAGCTAGCTTCCGTTGCCCCAGTCCCCGGCACTCACGGATCCTTCCCTAGCCCTGTCCATTGCCTGCGTGGGCACCCGCAGCGGCGCTCGGGATCCAGGGAGCAGCACTAGTCACCAGCCGGCCGGCCGAGGACCGCGGGGAGTCATACTGCAGGCGCCGCTGCGCCGCCGCCGCCTCCGCCAGCAGCCTCAGGGTGCCGGTGACATCAGATCTCAACTGCCGCGAGAACGGCCCAGGAGCTCCAAGGCACTGGAGGTTCCTCCCTGAATCTGTCAGGGCTAAGATCCGGTCTTTGGGTATCTCAATCACACAGGTGAGGCACAGCACCCCTGGGGTACCTGCACTGCCCTGGAACGGGCTCCCCTCTGCGCTGTGGTTGCCCTTTGAGGTGACCTCTTCCCCGAAGCCTGGGGGTAGGGGTAGTGTATAAAGTAAGAGAACTGTGGCCCTGGAAAGGTCTCCATCCAGCATGGACAAACAAGACTGGGAGCTGGAACCTCTGTTTGCCCATTGCCTTCCACCCCAAGGCCCATAACCCAGGATGCCTCAGAAAACCTGCTCCCACCCTTCCAGCTCTGCCTGGACCCTGTGCTTCACCCCAGTCCCCACACCAGGGACGACTCCTTGGTTGCTCCCTCCCCATCCTCTCCACACAGACTCCGGGGAAGGAGCCCAGGGTTGAATGTCAGCGAACATGGGTCAGATCCCCAGGCACTGAAAAAGGATGCAGAGTCCCAGCACACATTTGGCCCTCGGTGGACCGCCTTTCCCACTCCCCCACTTCTTTCTGTCTCTAATTTCCGGCTCTGCTTCTCACCACCTTCTGTTCCCTTCTGAATTTCCTTCAGGGCTAAGTTCAAATTCTAGGTTAGGGACTTGGCAAGCTGTGAATATTGAACCTCTGGAGCCTTAGTTTATCAACAGGGAATATTTTACTTCCTTCAATAGCATTATTTGAGGGTTAAGTGGAAAACACCAACCTTTTCCTGGGCCTAACACATATTTAAAAATTAGTTCCTCCACTTTACTTGCAGTTTAAATCACCTCCCCAAGAAAATTTGCGTGTATTTTTCCAGGACTAGCTTTCTTGCCGTTCCTAGAAACATGAGTGGCCCTCTTTTGAGGATCCCCTGAACTTGGTGTGGAAAGAATTACAACACATTCAGCCTGTGGCTGAAGGAGAGTTGACCAAAGTGAAAACTAAGCCCCTCCTGTGCCCCTGGAATCTTGATCAAGATTCCCATAGAGAGAAATTACACTGTTGGGTAGGGGGTAAAACACAAGATACAGAATTCAAACATTTGTATACCTAGACCAGCTCTGCCCAGTAAACACTACTGCAGAGATAGAAACTCAGTAACCATCTACTGCTTGAAATGTTGCTACAACAACTCAGAAACAAAGTGTTTTTATTTATTTAACTAAAATTACAATTGAAATGGTCATATGTAGCTAATAATAGAGCTGAATAGCAAATAGGTTTTATGTCATGTGCTGATCTGACCCTGACCAGGGTGATTAGGTAATGTCAGAATCCCTCTGGGTTCATTTGGCACCAACAGAAAATGGTGATTCTCCAGGCAAACAAACTAAAGTGTCCCCTCCTGATGCAGCTGAGAGCACACCAGGGCTTCTCTTTCTGGCTGGCACCATACACAATTTTTTTGGTACCAGGAATTGAATTCAGGACCCCACGCTTGCTAGGCAGGCACTATGGCTGGCTGAGCTATATCTCCAGCCCCTCAACTACACAATTTATACCAAGGCTGTGCTGATGTCTGGGTTTATTGGTACAGTGCTATGATTAACTAAAAATGTCCACTCTGGTCTGGGACAGGGGGCCCAGGCAAGCAGCAAATGTGCAATAAAGGGATATCTATCCAGATCAGACTCCACACTCCTGCTCCTGACTACTAGCAGCAGTCCCTTGCCTGGTCCAGAAAGTCACTAACACAACTTCCTCAGTCTTCCCTATCTCAGTAAAGGGCTAGCCACCCAGCTGCTTATCCACACAGCTGAGAATCATTCTAGTCTAACTCACCTCGGGGACAGTCTGTTAGCTGGCCATCATTTAAAACACACCCCTTCACCCTTTCTCTACAACACTCATCTACACCCCAAGTTCACTCCATAACTGCCATAACTCTATACACACAACCACCCACCATGTAGTCTTTTGCTACTTTTCTTACCTGTCTCCCCAAGACCCCAGTTTATTCTACAGCAGCTGTCATTTTAAAACTTTAGATGCATTGTTCTTCTCTTAAAATCCTTCAACCGGACAGTGTCACACAGAATGCAATCTAACACCTTACCATAATCTTTAAGGCCTTGCACAATCTTCCTTTCCCATTAGCTCAACTTGTGTTCCAGCTGTATTCCACTGTCTCTTTTTCTTTCCCACAAACATTTCCCCCTCATCAAAGGACCTTCGCCCTTGCTATACCCTCCTCTGGATTGTCTTCTTCCCATCTTTACAGCTGCAAATCCTCCCAACTTCCGCACTTATGCCCCTTCCCCCGCCTAATTTTGTTTACATTCCCCATATTTTTGCTGCTATTTATGTGTTCCTATGCATATTACCTGTTTTCCTTCTAGAATGGACCTTTCCTGTCTTGTTCACTTAAAAATCCCGTGGTCTAGATAGAAACTTGGCACATAACACATGTTCAATAGATGCATTTAAGAATAAACAAATGCAAGGCATGCTGGTGCACACCTGTGATCCGCACTACTTGGGAGGCTGAGATGGGAAATTCACTAGTTCAAGGAGAGCCTGGATAACTTAGTGAGGCTCTATCTCAAAAAAAATAAAAAAGAATAAATTCATGAATAAACAGCTCCCCACCATCCTGAGGCCAATGAGATCTTTACTCCTGGCCTGGCACCTCCTCTGTCTTCTCATCCTGAAAACCTCTCACGTTGAGTACCTCTCTCCATCACTTAAGAAGGAGCCCTTATCCCCAGAAGAAAACCACACCCACCTACAGAGCTTCCAAAAATGGGTGTGAAAACACTGCTGTCAACATAATGTTCTGATGAGCAAAACTGGCCGAGGTCCATATACTGCCCCCAACACAGGCCATAAAGAATCACCTGTCCCTCTCCCCACTTTGAGCAACCCCACCCTCCCTCCAGCCCCAGCAGGGACAAGGAAGGCAGCTATAGGCTGGGGTGCAAGTGGAAGGAGTTCATAACCCAGGGGTGGGGGCTTTACCTCCAGGCTGAGTGCCATCTGCCGAATGTAGAGCATATTCAGGTCCTCCAGGATGTGCAATCTGTCCTGCATCTCTGTGCCCCCCAGAGCCCCTTCCCTTGGCAACCCCTGGGGGGCAGGTGGCACCACGATGTCCCACAGTTACTCCTCCCACTGCTCCCCCGTCTGGAGAGAAGTGGCCAGCTCTTGGGCAGAAGGGAGAGGCAGCCCCTTTCTCTCCTCACTCCTGTTAGACCCTCTGGCTGCTGTGATAAAATCTCCACCTACTGCTGCTGTTCCAAAGCCCTGGTGGGAGCCAGGAGGGGAGGAAAGGAGAGTGAGGTGGGCATGAGCAGGGGTTAGGGAGGGGAGGCCAGCTGCAGGGCACTATGGGCACAGAGTGTCCAGTCTTGCTTTGGTGGCAGCTGTCCTCCCAGCTGTGGAAGAAAAAGGCTCTTTCATTCCCACTCGGCCCCCTCCCCAGCTCCCGCCCACAGCCCTGGCCGGGTGGACAGAGAATCTGTGTGAGGAGAGGGGCAGTGAGGGGCAGGCACAGCTGGAAGCGGGTAGGGAGGGCACGCCTCTAGCCGGTTGGTCCGGAGGTTGGAGCTCGCGCTCTCAAGGAGGAGGTCTGGCTTAGTTTTGAGAAAGTTAAGAAGAGCAAAAGAAGTGGGGATTTGAAAGGAGATGAGCGCAGGGAGTGGGACAAAGGGGTGAGTCGGCAAGGCGGCCCAGGCCCCAGGGCCACCCCTTCCTATTCGGACCCCCATCCAGCCCGCCTCACCCTGGGCTCACAATTACCTCTCTTTTCCAGCAGAAGGGAGGAGAGGGAGGGAGGGAGGCAGGGGTGTGCCTGTCTGCTGCTGCCCCCACTACCCTCTGGGGGCCCCCTTCCCTTCCAGACAGGAAACCAGCCCCGAGTCCCAACCAGCTGCAGTGTGCCCCCCCTCCACCCCAGGCCCACGGAGTCACACTCCACTCGGCAGCCGCGGCGGCCAGGCCCTGCGGCTCCGCCCCGGCTCCCGAAGGCCTGGCAGATCCCGGGGCGGCAGGGTTCACAGGCCCCTCCTCCTGTTCCTGGGCCTCGCCCCTTACGCCCCCACGCCAGTCCCACGCGGGATTTTCAGGCTGAGTTGCTGGGCGTGGAGAGACAAAATGCCCCCCACCCCCGCCAGTCCACTAGCTTCTGACTCAGAGAAGGCCTGGAACACTGGGACCCGGGAACACGGGACACGGGACGCGGGTGTGAAAGGGCCTTTGTTCTGGTCAGCCTGGAGGAAAAGGGCAGAAGCCAGGCCTAGAATCCCAGCTGGGAGGGTGAGGGGCTGGAGGAAGGCCCACCTCACTTAACCCTTTCCCGGCCCCGGGAGAGAAGGACAGCTTGGAAGTGGACTCTCCTGGGGCAAGTGTGCAGCTGACCTTGGGGACAGGAGTGTCACTGCGGTGCCTATGCACCTTCTCTGTCCTGGCTCAGCCGCAGGTAGGACTCGGGTGCTCTCGCTGCCCAAGAGAAGTATAGACTGGTGGGCCCGGGAGGAGACTTCCAGCTTAGACGCCAGATTCCTCTTAAGCCCCAGGAAAAAGGCAGAAAGTTTGGGTGTGGGGAGAGAAGAACTCCAAAGGGTTAAAAGAGACCCCGCACAGGCCCGCCCTCCCCCACGCTTGCCGCCCGTAAAGCAGCAGAGCCGTGGGGAGGGCTTCGGCGCAGCGGCACAGAGAAGTCCAGAGGGTTGGCAGAGCTTGGCCCATAATGTTGAGGAAGAGCGTGGGACGGGGCTGGCAGCCGGGAGCAACGGGCACAGCCCGCCTGGCTGTCCACCACTCCCTGGCCCGGAGATGCCCAGGAGGGGCTGTGTCCAGGCACATTTTGGGACTCGAACGTGCAGCCCCTCAAATCGAGGTCAACCAGGAGTTTTTCGGGGCAGAGGCCACTCATGCCAAGCAGACCAGGCAACGTGGGGGGCTGATGTGCCGGCGCCCCACACCTTACTTTCTAATCAGTAACTCGCGTCTGTTTGCTCCCGCACCGTGGCGTGCGCGGTCCCGCGCGGGAGGCAGAGGCGGCCCGGGGAGGCCGAGGAGGGCAGGGCGGGGACGCGGTCGCTCACCTCCGGCGGGTCGCTGAACACGCTAAGTCGGAAGCGGCCGCGCTTGAACTCCATCTCCAGCGCTGAGCCCCTGGCCACGGTGACCCGGCTCCGGTGGTTTCGGGAGAACATGCTGGCCCGCGCCTCTGCCTGCCCCGTGCGCCCCTGGGGTCCCCAGCCTCTGCCTCCCGTGCACTTCTCTCCTCGACGTCCGCCCACCTCCCAGCGCAGCCGGGAATCTCCAGCTGCCTGGTTCCCAAATCCCGCCCCCGGAGAGGACACCTGGCCGGGCAGGGAGCGGCGCCCTCCTCCTCTTCCACTGCGCCAAAGACCAGGCCCACCGTCCAGGGAGGACCCGGGCGCCGAGACAGACGGCCAGACAGCCCCAGAGCCGAAGGCACCCCACACCTCCAGAGCACTGCGTGGGTGCATCCTCCCTTCCGGCCCAGTCGCGGGCGCCTCACCTGAATGTGGGCGGACACAGAGAGTCCCGCCCCGCCCACCACCCCTACTCGTCAGAGTCCCCAGGTCGGAAAATCCCTCGGTCACGTGGATCGTGTATTACACACTCCCTCTCTAGCTGGGCCCGGACACCCCAGTCCTACTCAGGCCGCCTCCAAAACGACCACACCAACTTCCTACTGTTCGGGACTTAGGCATCTCTCTGCTCATCCATAGGGGTCCCAATTCATAACGAACATCTCCAAACCCAGATGCTTACTAACTGCAGCCTTGGCCTACTCACTAAAGTTTTTCTTTTTGGGAAAAAGAAGTCTTACTATGTAGCTGGGATCACAGGTGGGCCACTCTACCCTGCACAGTGACTGAACTTTCTGAGCTTCAATTTTTCATCTGTTCAGTGAGGTGATGTACTTATCCGTATTCCTCAAATTGCTCTGAGGATCACATCTGAGAATGAATGTAAACTGCCTAGTCTAATACCCGGTACAAGGCAAATGCACCATACGTAGAGACGTAGAGGTAGAGACAGATAGCAGCTTTGTGATCCTGGATGGAACATTGCAGTCTCAGCTCCCTGAACTCAGGGAGGGCAAGTGCTTTCCCGACCTCAACTGTGACAATCTTTCAGCTGCTTTGCTGGGTGACTGAAACAGGATTACCATTCCTTGTTTCTGCAGAAACAGGATTTCCTCCTCTCCCCCCAAAAGCTTCAGTGGACCAAAGAACATCTGGCATATTAGCTTGAGGACCTCACAGGAAGAGTTTCCTGGAAGATTCAGAAGTTACTGGGGAGGAATGGAGAGAAAGTAAGGCTCCTATAGAGCAGATGGGGGTGGAACCAGAGACATACCAGTTCTAGGCTCTTAGGCAGTCCAAGCCAGAATTGCTATGCTGGTGAATTACTCAGTATTCTTTTGAAAAAAGCATACTTAAAATTATTTCAGCAAAAGAGGAAATTTACTGGCTTATGAACTGAAATGTCAGGCTTTTAAGGGTCAGACTTTCATTGTAGCTTGATCCAGCATTGAGTTTTGAAAGGATCTTTCCATCACGTGGATGTACGTTCCTCCATGTTGGCCTTACTCCCCACAAAACTGTTGCCACTAATTCTGTCTTTATATTTTCTTAGGCTTCAACTCAGCTGAAAAGAAAACATCTGTGTCTTGAGGCTCTGGAACACGGCTGGGACTCATTGTGAGGCACTGGGATCATTTAATCATGCTGATACAATCATTGTAGCCAGAGGATTAACCAAACCTGAACCGATTGCTGTGGCTGAGGGAGTTCTGTTTGCCACCCCGGGGCACTTGTGCACTCCTGGAGACCAAATGGAACCCAGTGAGCTGGGAGAGAGAGGAGTAGAGGGAAAGGTTTGTTGTGGTTTATATTTAGATGTCCTCCCAAGGCCTCATGAGCTCATAGGTGGGGCTTTGAGGAGATCAGATTATGTGGGTGTGATACTAACCAGTGAGTTAATCTACTGATGAATTTATAGCTAAATGTGATGCTGGGAGGTGAAATCTGGTTGCAGAAGGTGGGTTACTGGAGGCATGACCTTGAGGGCTGCCCTCCCTCCTCTGTTAATCTCTCTCCGCTCTCTGCTGCCATGCTGGGAGCTCTGCTTCTCTTCCATACCGCCGAGTTCTGCCACCCTCCCTTGGAGCCAGCCACCTGAAACCTCTACATTCTGTGGGCCAAAATAAACCTTTCCTCCTGAGAGTTGTGGGTGTCTGCGGTTGTGTCTCAGTAACAACAAAAGTAACTAAAACAAGGTTGTTCTCCAAAGAATGTTCCATCTATTTTTACCTGAAGCTGAGGGCCTGGATGATGAACAGGTAAAGCACATCCTCCACACACAAAAATTTATGTGAAGGGAGTTGTATTAGAAAGAAAGGCAAATCAAAAGGCTATATAAAATCAATGGCATTTTCCAGGCCTAATATATATTGAATATATATTATTATATTCAATAAATATCAATAGAGGTAAGTAAAATAGCAAATGGATTTGAGAATTCTTGACTAAGATGAGCCAACCTGTTAGACTAAAACAGTTCATTTGAAATGTTTGTTCTTAAGCAATGGAGCCCTTTTTTTCAAATGCACGCTTACCCTGAAATATGTGACGGTTACTTGAATCTGAATGGTATGATGGAACAGGTGCCAGAGCCTCCCACATGTCCTCCCCACAGGCCTTAAGCCATCCTCTGCCTCTCCTTCTGTGTCTCTGCCACAGAGCACTCTGGGTTTGAAAATCCCTTGTCTGAGGCTTAAGTGGGTGGATTTTTGGAAAGGAGACTGAGCTCGGTGGGGCACAGTGGAGCATGCCTGTAATGTCAACACTCTGGGAGGTGTAGGCAGGGAGGATCATGAGTTCAAACTCAGCCTAAGCAACTTAGTGAGAACCTGTGTCAATAATAATAATAATAACAATAACAGTATGCTGGCATTATGGGACATACCTGTAATCCCAACACTTGGGAGCCTGAGGCAGGATTACTGTGAGACCAGCCCGGGCTACATCATGGGTTCAAGGTCAACCTGAACTACACAGGGAGACTCGGTCTTGAGAAAAAAAAAAGCAAAGGTGGTATAAATCAGTATATGCTATGTATTGGTGTGCTGCTGAACATTTCTTTTCAATTCTGTGTTCAGGCATGTCATGTTTGCAAGAGGCCATGGTGGGTGTATTTTTGCAACAGAAATAAATGATTTCTTTTTCCTGGGAAGCTTTTGTTAAACATTTACCTGCATGCCACTGGTTTGGTAACCAAGTCTTACCAACTTTTTCTCTTTGTTTATCTCTGTGTCTCCCTGACTATGAAGCAGGGTGCACAGGATTCAAACATTGTTGTATGAGTTTCAGCCCCTTCATGGCAGCTGGAGAACATTTATCTTTTCTCCCACTTCACACAGCCAGGAGTAGGCACTTGACCTAAGCCAAACAACCAGAATGCTCTCAGGTAGACTGAATCTAGGAATGCAAGCAACACCTAGGAAGAGTTCATGCCACACTCCCTGTGCCTGCAGCTCCTGAGGAGAGCATGTGGTGCCAGCAGAACATTCTCACTGGTGAGTTTCTGTGGCATGACTTCAGCGTGGCCTTGGCATAACCTCAGCCATGTTTCTGCTGCCCAGCCTGCCCTGAGGAGAGTACAAGATGAGGCCAAAACATTTTACAGCCTTAGAAAGTAAAAAAGTAGCCCAATGTAGTGGTGCACACTTGTACTCTCAGCTAACTCAAGACAGGGAGGCAGGAGAATCACAAGTTGAAGACCAACCCTGGCAATTTAGTGAGACCCTGTCTCATAATAAAAAAATATGTATATAAAGGGCTGAGGATGTAGCCCAATGGTAGAATGCTTGCCAAGCATGAGCAAGCTCCTAGGTTCAACTGTTACACTGAAGAAAGAGAGGGAGAGAGAAAAGAGAGAGACAGAGAGAGAGAGAGGAGTCAAAAGTCAAAACATGCTCAGAAATAATGGAGACATGTCAAAAGGACACAGAAGCCACTGGCCAAATCTGGGACAGATCAGAACACTAAAATAAAGATAATAATGGGTCACAACCCACTGATTGAAATGGTAATCCATGCTGAGATATATATGGAAAGCTCTTCTTTACAAAACAATGCCAACTAATACATGCAAAGGCAATAATGAAAATAGATCACTATTTGGCAATTATCACGGTACAATTGATTCATGCAGTATCCAAAATGGATACTAAAACTGGTTAGTGGAGGTTCAATGGAGATCAGCATATTACACTAGATTCAGAGTATTTACCCAGAAAACACTTATTTACAAAGAGAAACATGGTGATTTACAGTGGAAGAAACTAGCAGACACCACCCTGCACAAGGTTAACGTCATCACTGGTAGGACAGGTTGACCTCATATACCTCTTGCTGTAACACATTGAGAACACAGCATAATTGTGTGTGCGTATGCGCACGAGTGTGTATGTGATGTTCTTGCCAAGAATTTATAACTCTAGAGCTGAAAAAACACCAGAAAGCCCCAGGCTGAGGGACATTCTACAGAATCAATCAAAGATCACACTAAAACTGTCAAGGTCATGGAAGACAAGCATGAGAAAATGTTCTATATTGAGACAGACTTTTTAAAAAATTCAATAAACAAGTATAATGCGTAATCTAGGATTTGGACCTTGGAATAGAAAGGAAAGGATTTTGTGAAACTTGAATGGAGTCTATAAACTGGATGGCAAGGTTGTATCCAGGTTAGTTGCCTAATTGATAGAGTTGCATGAAGCTTATGTAGGACATTATGCTTGCTTGGAAAAATACACATTGAGATATTTAGGGGTGAAATGGTTTCATGTCTGCAATTTGTTCTCAAATTGATCAGAAAAAGAAATGATATTGTATATAAATAATACTAAATATTAACAGTTGCAGAATCTGGCTCTAAAAAATAGAGAGTTCTTTGTATTCATTGCATTTTTTTTATAAATTTGAAAATAATTTAAAACAACTTTTAAAATAAGGACAAGAACTCTTTCTTTTAGAAGGAAGAGCTCCTCTCAGCCTATAAACACTCAAATCTCTGCACTCTAAACAAAGGAAAACTAAAAACAAAATGAAGAAAGGGTCGCCCCATATAGTCACCACTTCCTCTCTGCTGGGCATCAGGATGTAGAGGAAACATCCCTAGAGAGGGTCAGGAAGCCTCTGTTTGAGGCCAGCTCTGCTGCTCCCTAACTGTGTGGCTTTGACCAAAACATTTTATTTCTCCCCGCCTCAGTTCTAAGCTGGAAAATAGTATCTCCCTTGTGGAGCTGTCATGGGGATCAAGGAAAAGGAAAAACTAGGAGAGCAGGTTATAAACCTTAACGCGTTCTACAAGTACTAACTACAAGTGACCCTGCCCTTTAATTCCTGGGGACACAGGGCCATTGCCACCTGCTCAAGTGTACCCTCTCCCAGGAGCTTGGCTGGCGCTGTACGGGACTGCACACAGTAATCACAACCTTGGGGACAGGGCTGATGCCCTTGCCTCTGCCTCCTTTTCTCAGCCTTGGCTGCAAACTTGCCTGGACCTTCTACCTGCCTGTCCAGGGCAGATGTTGTTGTTTTGGTTTTCCTGGCCCTTTTCCTCTTCATTGACCTGTTTTTTTGGAGTGTCTAGTTTGCCTCACCTCGTGAGAATTTCTATTACTATGCAGATGACCACCTCACTTCATAGTTAGGATTAATTTGTCTAACTTCATAGTTAAGATTCATTAGTCAGGGTTTACAAGGGCATAGATTTAATACAGAGCACAAAATATATAGGATTATTCTATAATATTCATCCAAAGAGTCAAATGCAGAAGAATACAGAAGATCTGTCTACATACTGGAGTCCAAAGAATCCAGCTTAGGGCATGGATCCCATGGTGAGTCCTCCATGAGTCCAATTGGAAGCCTGGAGCCCATGACAATGTCTCACGCAAGTCTATTCCAAGAAAATGAGCTAGGAAGGCCCAAAGCTCAGTGGTGGAAGCTAGAAAGTCTGTGCCAGGGAAATGAAGGATCTGTGCGACAGGCTGAGGGGTCTTCATTGGAGCCAGGAAGTGATGCTCAAGGTAAGGATCAGATATCACCTGAAAAGGCCCACAGCCATCCTCAGCAACAGCGAGGACCCAAACTCCTCCAGTGATGAGAACAGCTGAGTTCATATCCGGAAAACCAGTGTAACAAGCTCCTCCAAGAGAATCAATCCCACACCTTCTTTCCATCCTGTTCTCCTTTTATGCTGTTGGCAACAATCCTCAAGTGGGCCTTCCACATCCAAAAACATACTGATTCGTTCATCTGGGTGTTACAAATACACCAGAAGTTAAACCGCACATGCTAGAAACCTAGAATCATTAATTGTTAATATGACAATTATTGCTGGTCATGATGGCATACATTGTAACCTCAGTACTTGGGAGGCTAGGCAAGAGAATCTCTGTGAGTTCAAGGCCAGCCTGGGGTACATAATGAGTTTAAGGCAAGCATGAACTATGTAGTCTCAAAAAATAAACAAAAAAATCATAATTATTTGCTGAAAATATCTCTTATCCACCCCAATACTGATATAGAAATAACATAGGCCCTCCAAATAATCCAAATAATATAAGAGAAATCTTATAATTCCCAGCCTCCTAGCTTATTAGATGTCCAATGTACCAAGTTTGTATTCTCTAAAATCAAAGAATAAATTTTAGAAATACCATAAGTTAAGAGCAGAAAACATTTACTGGAGGAAGAAAAGCTATATTTATTGGGGGAAAAAGCTTCTGTCTAAGAGAGACAGAAGGGATCCTAAATAAGATGCTAGAGATCCTGCTTCTCAAGGGAATTTTTAGAGCAAAACCTTAAGATGAGGCAGTTCTAAGGTAGGAAGAAACTATAACCAACTAATAAGATTACAAATACAGTCACTTAGAAAACTTTGACCCAGTGAGAAATCACAAGGTGGGCATGAGGTGGGACAAAAGTATAGTTAACCAGTAAGATTACAAATATATATTACTTAGGTAATATTGATTAAATGGAGATCAAATGGGAAAGCAAATTGTGCACCAGTGTACATGGGCCAAATGGGGACTTTCCTGAAAAGGAGGTTTTGATCCCCCATCCAAGGTGAGTGATACCTATTCAGAATATCAATCATTGCTGTGCATACCTAGGGGAAGTATATAGGTGTATTCATCCCATCTTTTGTA